CACACATAGCAGAGACCGAAACGTCGTGATAAAATGCACGAATCGTTTTACGCCAATGAAGTAAAACAAATGGACTGAACAGTTTCCTATACTTTAATTCACTGCTTTAGGAAGAAAGAGAGCAGAGTCTGGGTCATGACAGTGTGCCTAATCTTCCTCCCTCCTTAGCCCCACGGATGCTACCACGCAGAATAATTTAGGTATAGAAAGAGGAAGCTGGAAATCAGACGGACATGTGGTGACGAACTCAGCAGTCCTCACTGCAGCGAACCTGGCCCCGCGAAGCCCTGTCCTCATGCCCAGCTGCCTCCTTCCCACAGGCACTGCTGAAGGCCAGTGACTCCTCACAGCCATGGCCTGAGGGCTGTGCGTCTAGCCCTCGCCTTCCCAGGGCCCCTCTCTGACCACCGGGGGCCGGAGCCACTCCGCGCCCTCTGCCACACTGCCACACCATCGTCCGGAGAAGTGCCCCTGCCCTTCCTGCTGTCACATGCCCTGTGCCTTTGCCGTGCTGTCCCTCAGAAAGCAGCTCTGCTTCCAGCCCCGCCAGGGAGCGAGCCGGGGCAAGACTGACCCACACCACCTGCTCGACAGCAGCATCAAACCTGCTGCCCAGTGCCCTGCCCCATGGCTACCCTGGGCGGAAAATGCTCCAGAGAGGCTACTGGAGGCCCCCCACCCATCCCAGGACACAGCAGACCCCCAAACCCACCGTGGACTCCAGCTGCATTTCCACCTCTTCAAAGGTATCAGTAGGAGTCCAGCAGATGGTGTCTGTTTGCATTTCATGTTTGTATTTGATGGATTCGCTGTAAATATGTCCCTCTTCACACAATATTTTAAAGTGTAAATGTAAAATGCAATCAACTGTACTCCCAAATGTTAGGTCCTCCTTCAGACGGGGCTGTAAGCAGCCAAACTCTTCACCATGTGGCATCACTTGGCTTTTGCCAGGAGAAGCAGCCTTACCAGCATCAGTTGAAAGTTCGTACGGCTTGCTGGACTAATGCTTCCCAGTGTTAGACAGTATTTTCTAAGAATAAGAACCTTCCTGAGATTTCCGCACGTGGGTTTTGCTTCTGACCCTGAGCCGTGCGAATGCCCGTGTGGGCTCCATGCCGGCTGTGACGCCACGCTCTGCGTGTGTTGGTTCTCGCCATGGCCAGCAGGAGCCGCTGTCTCCAGGTGAAGGCCCTGAGGGCTGGCAAGGGGCCGCTCTGGGCCGTGGGAGTGGGCCGGAGCCACCGTGAAGGGCTGCACTGTGCTAATCATTTACTGCTCACAACATCGTGGCGGGCACGGCTCAGGTCCTGCCCTGTCCAAGTTGACACACGGGTAACACCCACACCCGGGGTCCCCCAGGGCCTGAGCCAGAAGTGTCCACAGCCCCCCTGCACCACAGTGACGTCCCCGGGCGCAGCTGGCAGGACACGCAGCTGCTGTGGCTCATCGCTTCTGGGTGGCAGGAGGCCTCAGGCAGAGCGGGGAGTGGGCTCCCCAGCCCCAGCTAGGAGCAGAGCCCAGGGACCAAGAGCACAGAGACGCCTGCAAGACACCTGTGCTGCCTGTGTGTGGCCAACAGGAGCATCGCCCGGGAGATGTTGGCCTCCTCGTTACCATTTTACCAAATGAGCTGCGTTAAGTTAATTACACTGCGCTCTGTGAAGAAGCCCCTCTGGGTGACTCCCCGTCCATGGGCCCTGGAGACAAACCCAAGGGTCCAGTGGCACCAGCCACAGGAAGACTCACTCTGGAGCCTAGCGCTTCCAGGAAGCCTGAGTCTGTGGCCCAGCAGTGCGGCCTCGGGTCCACCATGAGCTCTGTGACCTCTCGTGAGGCCCCGGCCCCTGACACCAGGCATCAGCCGTGGGACTGCATGGGGATGGACACAGGCTCCTCATGCCCAGCTTCGCCTTCGCCTACCTCTGGAAGCTGTGGGGGGATTGTGCCCATGAACGTGTCTGCTGCTGTCCTCAGCCCCAGGCTCTGAGCATCTCCAGGAATGGCTGGGACCTGCTCTGAGAGAAGGGACCCATGCAGGGGACAGGACAGACAGACCCACTCCAGGGCAGTGGGTGGAGAGACACAGACCTGCCCACAGGCTGGCATCACCTTGGCCCTGGTCCTCAGCCTCTCTCGCCTGGGTAGGGAAGGATGGTGCCTGGGCCCGCTGCCAACAGCTGGCTGTGACCAGGGTCCCTGGGCTGGACACTGTCTTGGAGTCACACTCGCTCCTCCATCCCGACGAGGCGCAGGCGCCACAGCTCCGCCCTTCTCCAGGAGAGGAGACACAGGGACCCGCTCTGCTTTCTGAGGCCTCCACAGTGACATAAGATCCCGTGGGACAAGGAGTCCCGGCACCTAGGCTGCTGTGGCTGACTGCGCACCGTACAAGGTCACCCGGGGAGAGGACACACAGTGGGGACCTGGGCTCCCGGCTCCTGAGCTTCCCAGCTGCCTAGGCCTCCCTGGTGACAGAGGCCGTGGGCCTGAGTGCCATGCCCAGGCCAGCCCTCTGCACACGGAGAGCTGGATGGGGGCAGAACGGCTGTGCAGCCCACACCCCTCAGGAGGCGGATGAAGACTGAGGCCTGGAAGACCCCGCGAGTGGAAGAGAGTGGGCCCTGGCAGCTCTGGGTTTTCCTGGGCAGGCTTTGCCCTGCACGCTGCTGCCCATGGTTTGTGTGCTGGTCTCCAAAGACTCCAAAGCAAGAGTCTGCAGATCCTCACTCAGACATGACAACACTGCTCTGATGCCAGAGCAGGGCCCAGGCTGCAGGCGGGCCCTGAAGGCCTGGAGAGGATGGAGGTGCTGGGGACGGATGGAGGGAGCTCTCCTGAGACACAGCCACATCTAGGGGTCCCCCAAAGTCCGTGTGCTGAAGCTTGGTGCCTGGGCAGAGCTGTTGGGAGGAGAGACCTGTAGGCAGTCAGGGGCCTGCTGGGAAGTCTGCAGGTCACCAGAGCAGTCCTCAAGGGCCCAGAAGACCTGTCTGTCTCTCCCGGCTGCTTCCTCGTTGCTCCACCTCGAGCTCCAGCCCTGACGGCTGCTGTCCCCCTCGCTCTTGGATGGGAGCCTGCAGAACCATGACTAAATCCCCTCTGCTCTTGCTGCTAACTGACCTGGGCATACGCCACGGTGACAGAAGGGAGGGCCACGGGGCAAGGACAGAGCCGCGCCCGGGGCAGCACCTCCTGAGGGGCTTAGGGGACACCACAGGGCTGGAGTCTTCACCCTGCTTCCTAGCTGCATTGACCAGGCATCTCTAGGACGACACTTCCTGGATCCGAGACCCCAGAGCAAACGCCACTTTCATAATGAGACTGTTTCACCACCGGATCAGTCCTTGGAGTCACTGAAGCTTTAGGCTGAGACGAAGACTGAGACCAGCAGCAGCCAGCTGACTAGGCACAGATGGTTTCCAGCTCACTCAGGTCCATGTGGCATTGTCTTAACCTTACAGCATGCAAAAGCTAAACGCAGGCAGTGAGAGCCACACTTTGAATTTTGATCTTGCCTTTCCACAGGCTTGAGATGCATGGTAGGATGGTCTCTTGCACGGTGGCGGCATCAGCAGCAGGCCCACTGCCCAGTCACAATGGCACAGCACAGCCCCACAAAGAGCTGTGTGGCCAGCATGCCTGGCACGGCTCAGTAAGTCCCGTGGGACATCCAACACCGTGTTAAGCCTGGCTTTGTGGGAGGTGCAGGGCTCTGGGCTCAGGTGAGGTGGGTTAGGCCAAGCTGGGGTGCCTGCTAGGTTTGGTGTCTTGAATGCATTGTCTCATTACGCTATTTCCAGTGAGCATGGTTTTATCAGGACAGAAGCCCACCTCAGTCGCAGAGAGGCTATGTGGCCCTCTAGATCAGGGGACTACTGGTTTCCAGCACTCTGAGGTGGAAGCAGGGTGGGTGGGCATAGAAGACAGCAGGCTGGGGTCCCTCTGGGCAGACACCGGCTGGCCCTAATGCCAGAGCTCTGCTCCCACCTGTGCCCTTGATGGACAGGAAGGACCACTGTTCTTCCAGGACCCACAGGCCACTAAAGCAAACGTAGGCTCACAGCCCTCCCTGCCCCCCGGAGGCCGAGATCCCCTTCAGCTGAGGCCCTGCCGCTCCTGCATGCCCAGAGCCGCAGACGCTGGTAGGCAGCAGGCTGCCCTCAGGGCCAGGGTCCCGAGCTGTGGTCCCCACTCCCACGGGGAACGTCCCTCCCCGGCCCTGCCTCTGGGAGTGGAGTCGGACTTCAGCAGGGCCAGACCGTGCATGTGTGCTCGCCCATGTACCCCATCTCCACGGGCCATGGGAAGGACAGGCCCTACCCCGTCCACCCAGGGAGACGCCATGGCCCGGCTTACTTCCCACCAGCAGCAGAGGCCTCTGGTTCAGCCCCAGGCTTCTGTCACATAAGGACCCCCTCCCCAGCAGGGTACAGAGAACCCGGCTGGAAGGAAGGAAGGGAGGGGGAAGGGAGGAGAGAAAAGGAAAAAGCAAGAGTAGGAAGGAGGAAAGAAGGAAAGGAAGGAAGAGGGAAAAGAATGAAGGGCAAAGGCAGAAAGAGAAGTAGAGAGGAAAGGAAGGTGTGTAAGGGAAAAGGATGAAAACAGAGAGGGGAAGGGGGA